TTTTGAATGTTTATCTTGTATCCTGCTACTCTGCTGAATCTTTCTATTAGTTCCAGTAGATTTCTCGTGGAGTCTTTAGGGTTTTCTATGTGTAGTATCATATCATCTGCAAACAGGGACAGTTTAGCATAGATTATAATTTAAAATAGTCATTTTATTTTCCAAAATTTATCCAAGGTAAAAACATTAGACACGCAGTTTCCTTTAGAGCTAATTAGTGTGCATCTGCAGCCATTCATTCATGTGGAAACTCTGGAGCAAACTCAGCACCTCATAACCTGTCACTGCTCAGGCAGTGACCACTAGTAGGGATTCTGGAAGGACACTGCTAAGGAAGAGGTGTGTCCACCAAATAGTCAAGATGGATGTGGTAAGTGAGAAGATAAAGTCAGCCAGCCTGGAGTCATGTCAACTGTGGTCTCTATTACAAGCTGAAGCTAAGCAGAATGAAGGTGAGGTAGATGAGGTACATAAGAGTTACAGGCCAGCAACCTATTTCAGGCATGGGAGCAGGGTGGAACTAGAAAGAGCCGAGGCTGGGTCGTCTACTCTCCACAATATTTCCAGAGCCCAAAGAGGATTCAAGGAGAGTCCGTTGTGACATTTAAAAAGGACAATAGTTCCCACTTACCCGAGGTTTTGCTTTCCGTGGTTTCCGTTACCTGCAATCAACTGCAGTTTAAAAACGTTAAATGAAGTACGTAGCGTGATGAAATCTCCTGCCGTCCCGCTCTGTCATTCACATAACTTTTATTACAGTATATTGTTATAATTGCTCTATTTTATTATTAGTTGTTGTTAATCTCTTACTGTGCCTAATTTACAAATTAAACTTTATCGTAGTTTTGTATGTATAAGACAAAACATAGTATATATAGGGTTCGGTACTATCCACCATTTCAGGCATCCATGAGAGGTCTTGTAACGGATCCCCTGCAGATAAGGAGAGGCTGCTGTAACTATTATGTTTGAAAGAATCTTGACCACAGATTTCCTCACAAGTCTTTAACAATCTTCTGGGTAAATTTGGGGTTGGTTTGAACGGATCCCCTGCAGATAAGGAGAGACTGTTGTAACTATTATGTCTGAAAGAATCTTGACCACAGATTTCCTCACAAGTCTTTAACAATCTTGTGGGAAACCACTATTTTCTGGGTACATTTGGGGTTGGTTTTCTAGGTTCTCATTAGATTGTGCCTTGGGGGAAAGTATCCTTGTCCCTCCTTGCTTCTAAGGAGCATTCTAGTTGAACTTCTTCCAAGACAGATTTGTTCATTCTTCTGGCAGTCCATGGCATATTCAATATTCTTCGCCAACACCACAATTCAAAGGCATCAATTCTTCTTCGGTCTTCCTCATTCATTTTCCAGCTTTCCCATGCATATGAGGTGATTGAAAATATCATGGCTTGGGTCAGGTACACCTTAGTCCTCAAAGTGACATCTTTGCTTTTCAATACTTTAAAGAGGTCTTTTGCAGCAGATTTGCCCAATACAACACGTCACTTGATTTCCTGACAGCGGCTCCCATAAGCATTGATTGTGGATCCAAGTAAAATGAAATCTTTGACAATTTCAGTCTTTTTACCATTTATCATGATGTTGCTTATTGGTCCAGTTGTGAGGATTTTTGTTTTCTTTTTGTTGAGGTGCAATCCATACTGAAAGCTATTGTCTTTGATCTTCATCAGTAAGTGCTTCAAGTCCTTGCTTTCAGCAACAAGTTTGTGTCATCTGCATATCGCAGGTTGTTAATGAGTCTTCCTCCAATCCTGATGCCACGTTCTTCTTCATATAGTCCAGCTTCTCAGATTATTTGCTCAGCATACAGATTGAATGAGTATGGTGAAAAGATACAACCCTGACGCACATGTCTCCTGATTTTAAAACCCTTACCTGGCCAAATTATTTTTCGCTTTAGATTTTTTGTTGATGTATATTTTTTTATTAATGGAATTCATGCTGAATCATTGAGTGTGTCTGAATTGAGTATGTCTATCTGGACTCTGGGGTAGGATTGGTGGGACACATATGACTCTCTGGCCTTTAGAGGTGAATGCATTGTCCCTCTGGACTCTGGGGGGGTGGGTAGGATTGGCGGGATGCGTATGTCCCATTGGACTCTGGGACACAAATGTCCCTGTGGACTCTGGTGCAGGTTTGTTGGGACACATATGCCCCTACAGGATGCACCAGGATGCACCACCTCATGCAATACCCTGTAAAAACAGTGATCTGTAGTACACTCCCATTTCTTCTGTTTCAAACAGTTATATAGGCTGCACATACTGTCAGTGGTGAAGCAGTTTCCCAATAAACCCCAGAGGCAGGAAATTGGGTGGGACATATATGTCCCATTGGTCATGAAAGCATTTTAAACCATGCGGTATCCCCCTTGTTCTGTTCAAACCACTGCCTCTTGGTCTACGAACAGGTTCTGCATGAGCACAATGAAGTGTTCTGGAATTCCTGTTCATCACAATGTTATCCATAATTTGTTATGGTCCACACAGCCGAATGCCTCTGCATAGTCAATAAAACACAAGTAAATATCTTTCTGGTACTCTCTACTTTCAGCTAAGATCCATCTGACATCAGCAATGATATCCCTTGTTCCTCTTCTGAATCCGGCTTACAAAAATAAAAGCTGCTTGCTGCTCTTATTTTGAAATATAAGAGATGTTCCAGCAGCCACAGCCCAGGCCCAAACACCCTTGTGAGAACACACAGAAGACAAGGCTTTGTGTCCAGAGAAGCCCAGTCATCACACAAGACTGATTTCTGAAGAGGAAGGGACAGATGGCATGGTTCTTCCCGAGGAATGAGTGGGAGGTGGCCTGGTCCAGAAGGGCCACCTTGGCAGGAGAGTGGGCCAGCTGACTTTTGAAGTCCCTTCTGAATGAGATTCAAGGATTTGTTTATCTTGAAATCTACACCGCTGGGCACTCTGAGCTTTCTTTGGCTCGTTTTCTTTCTGAAATCATGATCTGATCTAATCAAAATACTTACCTGGCTCTTTAAATCACGTGGTTTGTTGGCTCCAGCTGAGTAAAGTGTGTGTTCAGGGAAAAAACAAAAGTTGTTTACATTCTTTCTGTGAAGTCCTGGGCCAAAGTCAACTTTAGAAATGAAAGTGAAATCAGCTGATGGTGACATCAGCACAAATGTACAAAGTTCAGAGTTGTTTACTTAGGCACACTGTAGCTTGGGGCTTTGCTGGCCCGCTGTCCTCACTGCTTGTCTCTTAAAAAGCCGGCGAAGAGGAAGATCCAGGAGCCTGATCCTGCTCGTCCTGTGTGAGAGTCCGGGGTCCTCGCCTTCTTTCTGTAAGTACCTGCCCTGCCAGCAGCAGTTTCCCAGATGCCCACGGTCTTGGAAAGAGCAGTTGTCTCGGCTAATCTACAGTCTAGCAATGACAATCGGCGAAATTATTGGCCCTGCTGTTCCTGTGACCTTCCCTTCCTCCCTTGTGGGTAGGATAATCTGTCCACCCCCTTTGTTCTCTATTTCCCTCCCTCCACCCTCCCTAGCATCACCCTGTGCACCTCTGGCTCAGAACTGGGGAAGGCACTGCCAGTTTAGCTGGGCGGAAATGCCCGGAACGCTGGGCACAGCGGGGTCTTGCACACTCGCACAAGAAATGTCTGTGGCTGGTGGACTGGAACCTTCATCAGGAACAGCCGCCAGAGAAAGACCGCCGAACAGCAGAGCTAGATTATGACAACGGTGGTTACGAAAGCATGATGAAGCCCTGAAATACACACCGAGGTTTAGGATTGTTAGAAAGAACTGTGATGGACTCAGAAAGAATGTCCTAGGGTCTAAGAGATTTTTAGCTAGAAAGGCAATGTTCTTATTGGACTAAGTTGCTTCTCATGCCCTGCTGGGAATTCACGTGGGTCCCCTGGGTGCATAGTCTAACAGATTTTTTTTTTTTTAATGTCGGCTTAGTTTCCCTAATAACTTCCATTACTTTTGTTGACCTGTGAAATCAAAGGCTTTTTTGGGAAACAAATATGCACGTATATGTGATTCCTTTTTCCGTCTTCCCTCGTGACAACTAAAGTGCTTTTTCCAGTGTCATCTTCCTAGACCCGCCCCTCCAGAAGTCCCGGCTCTAAGATTCAGGTCATGTGAAATATGCCTTTCCACTTTGTACATAGTCTCCTTTCTCAATTTTCTTTCGAGCTTAGTCCCTGCTTTACCTAACTCTCAAGGCTGATTATGTTTGTTCGTTCGATAAACGTCACTTTTTTTCATAAATATAGCACATAAGGATTCCGAAAATGTTTTAATGCAAAAAGAGAAGAAAATAACAATTGCCCATAATGCTACAACCCAGAGACACCACAGCCTCCATGAACATTTTAGAATACTTCCTGAATCTCTTTCTTCTGTGCATCTTTATATAGACGCAGGCATGCTACATGGTGTAGTTTTGTACCTGCTTTTTTTTAAAGGTTGCATAATATTCTTCACACGTGGTACTTCACTTCTAACGTCGGACATTCAAGTTGCTTAGCATTTTTTGCCAAAGTAAATAATAGGGTGATAAACATTCCTGTATACTAAATCACTGACTGCATTTGTGATTATTCCTTCAGGCTAGATTAATAAAAGTGGGATTGCTAAATCAAAAAATATACCTAATTTTAGGGCTTTTAATGAATGTTGCTGAATTGCTTCCCAGAAAGTTTGTACGAATTTTCACATCCACCATCATTGTATGAGAAGACCAGTTTTACAGCACTCTTGATACCATCAAATGTTTTTATCTGCAGTTTTGATAGGAAAATCCACAAGTTGTTTTACTTGGCATCTTTGATTACGTTAGGAAAAGTATAGATTTTTTTTTTTCATGTTGGTTAACTATTTAAATTCCTTCCTTTGTGATTTATCTCTTCATATTTCTTCCTCATTTATTTTTATGGGGTCTACTGCACACCTTATATGTTAGCACAAACATTTTAAATACTAAGTATATTAATCATTTCATGTTTGTTGCAGATATTTTCCCTGTTCATTGACTTTTGATTTTATTTACATTGCTTTTTGATATCTAGAATTGTATTTTTTAAATAGTGAAATCTGTGCATTTTTTCCTCTGTACTTTCAATTGCTTTTCTTTCTCATTCAGAAATTAAATAGACATTTACATTTTTCTAGCTCTTTATTTTTATTTGTTTATTACATTTCACTGTTAAATCCATATGGAAGTTATTTTATATACGGAGTGAGGCGAAGACTTAAAATAATTTTTTTTTCTATCAGCTAATCAGTTGCTTCAGTATTGGTTAACGGATGCCCTTTCTTCCACTGAATTACAATGCCACTTTCATCATGTATTAAATTTATATACGGCTTTTCTAAGGAGTCCTTGGGTGGCGCAAACAGTTAAGCACTCAGCTACTAACCAAAATGTTGATGGTTCAGATCCACCCAGAGGTGCCTCAGAAGAAAGGCCTGGAGATCTACTTTCAAAAAATCAGCCATTGAAAACCAGAGCTTTGAACTGACTCGGAACGGTTCAGTAACTGCTGACATAAATGAGGGCAACGTATACACATTGCATAGCAACCAAATTTGTTGCGCATCAATTTTGACCCAAGTAGGAAACAAACAGCATTGCCCCTCTCAAAGATGGCAGCAGAATGCACCGCTTTGAATGTGTGTCGCTTTCCACAGTCTTGCCAATAATCCAGTCTCCCACCTCAGGCTCCTGAAACTTTTGGGATCTGCGCGGGAGATTATATGATTGGCAGGACTGTGGAGAGTGACACACATTCAAAGCGGTGCTGTTGGCCACCACCTTTGAGCAGAGCACCGCTGTTTGTTTCCTACTCAGTCAAAATCCAACAGGCAACAGATCCGGTTGCTATGTAATGCCACCCTCGTTTACACTGGCAATTACTGAACCGTTCTGAACTGGTTCAAAGCCCTGTCGAAAACCCCATGGAGCACGTTTCTACTCTGACACACATGAGGTTGCCATGAGTCAGAATCAATTCAACAGCAACTGGTTTTAATTTTATGGATGTTCTGAGATCTCCTGCTCCCTTGAGCTGTTCCAGCCTTGTCCTCATTCCCTGTTTTATTGATTTCTGGGAATATTCCTGGGAGCTGGATAATGTAGTTCCTTCAGTAGGTAGCCTGCATGAGGCCTCAAAATGATATAACTTAAAGTGAATTAATAAATGTATAAATAGCTTTGCAAATCTAATCTTCACATAAATTGGAAGTTATGTTCTCATTACAACTGCGATTTTACAGAGCTTGGTCTTGTTCCCCTAGCTTCACACCTGCCCAGTTTACTCATCCCGGGACTTCCACAGAGTTGGGGAGGTGACCGCAGATCCCAGCATTTCTGACGAGGACAGATAACTTTTGTTTGGCAGCAGTAGGGAGGTGGAGGTGCCAGTTGCCAGTCAAGTTGACTCTGATTCATGGCGATCCCACGTGTCAGAGTAGAACTGTGCTCCATAGTGTTTTCAATGCTGCTTTTTTGGAAGTAGATCACCACACCTTTCTTCTGAGAAGCCTCTGGGTGGACTCGAACTTCCCACCTTTCCGGCAGCGTTAACTGTTAGCACCGACCAGGGACTCCAGAAAAAGCAGAGGAGCAATACCTGCCCTATGCTCAGGGTGTCCCAGTCAACCGAGAAGCCGAGGCTGGCAATTAACACCGGCCTGAAGAGCTATGAGGGGAAGATTTACTTCCTAACTGAGGCTCGAAAATACTGGTCTGAGGGAACGAGAAGGGGGCCCCTTAGCATCTGCAACTCACTGTGTCTGAGCTGCTTTCTTCTCTTTATTTCACATGTGTTTTGAAGTCATTTGATCTGCATTACAAAATCACCAGATAGGACCCTTGTCCTCTTGTGTAGGGTGGAGGTGAAGTTAGTAGAAAAATTCCATCCACCTGCCTAGCCTCCTTTCCAGCCAACTCTCAAAATGCCTTTTGAAAATTTAAAGGACAGGTCTTAGCGACTGTCCATTGGTCTTAATTCCTCCTCTTCTTTCCTTTTGATTGTTGGGTACAAACTGCATTACGAGGCCTTGGTCTCCCTCCATGAATGGTCGTGGAGGAAACACTTCATTTTGCTCCACGCTTCTCTCCAGCTCAGTGCCTCTGTCTGCACTTCCAGCTCCTCCTTTATGCGCCTTTCTCCCTATGGGAGTGGGAGACGGGAGTCTGTGGAGCACCTAGTGAAAGGGATAAAGCCCATCCCCGGCCCGGCCTAGGTGGCCTGCAGGGCCTGGGCTGCCCGAGTCCTCCTCACCTCTCCCCATCACCAGCTGCAGCCACTGGCTTCTCTGCGCCTCCACATCTTTCAGTTCTTGCCTGGCTGGGCTTGATACCACTGCTCTCTTCCAGAAGGTTCTTCACACCCCACAGCCTCACAACAGATACCTCTTAACAGACAGGCTTCCTGTCTGGCGTCACTAGGGAGGTGCCAGGGGTGCAGACCACACCAGGTGACGCTGTCAGAGGGGGTGACACCAAAATGACTGTCTCTAAAATTTTTGTGCAGTGTTGCAGCACATTTATTATTTTTTATAAGAATATTCCTGTAGTTATAACAACAACAATAAATTGTATAAGCTCAGCTCACATGTATCAATATACCTACAAGGCTAACACTCTATGCTAATTTACTTTTTGAACATTCTAATGCCCTCCGGCCAGAGCTGTCATTATTACCCAATCACAACGACGCTTCGAACCACGTGGTTTCATCTGCAAGGGCTCCCAGCATGCGCTGTTGTTTGCGTTGCTGCTGGTGTTTTTATAGCCGCTGATTTTGTCAAATCTTCTGGTTTTTTAGCTACAGTATTGTGGTAATTAGTATTTGTGAACCTGTATCAATAACTTTTTTGAGACTGAAGCAGTGATTAAAGGAAAACAAGGAACGACGTATGGGAATTAATGATTTACAAGTAACATTTGTACAAAAAACATTACTAAGGATTCTGTATGATCTGGCATGGGAGGAGGGCCATTGGGGGAGGTGACATCATGAGTTACCACACTGGTCGTCACTTCCGCCCTCCAGTTTTCTCTCCCTATCTTCATCCTGTAATTTCCTTCCCAGATTTTTCTTTTCAAAAAGTGTGACGATCTTGTGTTTATAAGGTTGGTGTTTGTGTCTCCCCCACTGGAGTGCAGGCTCGGGGAAGGCAGGCGCCCTCATTGGCCCCGTGTGTCCCTATTCCTTAGGCTTGTCACTCAGGGATCATCCAGACACATCTTGGTGGGGACACAGCTGAAATTTCAGCCTCGTCAATCCAAGGGGACGTTGACTTGCCATCGTAATTGCAGGAGAGA